CACCGGTAATCTCAACTCTGCCATCCAGGCTGCACACACAGCTTTTCAGCATCTTGCTCTATCAGTACTGAAATTTGTGTGTTGTATCATACTGAAATTTGTGCTCCCCTATCTATTAGAAATTTTACGGAATGCTTTTGAGGACAGACTTCAATCAAAATATGCATGCCATTATTTCTCATCCTTTGATCAAACTCCCCTTGCCGGACAGGCAGATCCAATCACCTGCTTGTAATTAGTCTTTTTTTGTTGTTGTTTACAGTCTGCAGCAGTGATTGAGCACCTGGTGAGGGGTGTGGCCAGCCCTGCCAGCACAGGTGGAAGCGATTTACCTGTGGGATCGGATAGGGCTGAGCTTGGCTCCACCCCTCCCTGCCCATATTTAAGGCCTGGGAACAGTAAGGGCAGCATTCTGCTTGGGGACTGCTTCCTTCGGAGCATTGGGAGTAAGTTCTGCTCTTTGGAATGGGGTGAGTGATTGATGCTCTATTGCAGGGCTCTGGTCTTTCTGGTTTTGGGATTCTAACTGCTTTTAAGGGCAGAAAGCTGTAAGGGCAGCATCTCTGCATAGAGACTGCTTCCTTTGGGGTGTGGGCTGAGTGTTTGTTTTTGGAATGGGGTCATTGATTTTTTTTTTTTTTTTTTTTCTTTATTGTTGGATTGTAATTTTACTTTCTGGGGGGCTCCTGACCACATTAAAGGTCTGTCAGCAGAAAGAGCAGCAACTGCACCTGGAGACTGCTTCCTTTAGAGCGTGGGGTGAACCCTTGAAACAGGGTGAGTGATTCTTTATTCCAGAGTTGCAGTATCTTGTTTTTGGGAGGATCCTGACCCCACTTAGGGGCTGGTAGCCTTTAAGGTGGTATCCATCTTTAGAGACCGTCTTCTTGGGAGCATGGGGTAAGGTCTGGTCCTTAAGAAAGGATGAGTGATTCCTTATTTTAGGGCTGTGACCTTTCCCTTTTGGTTTTTGGGGCATCCTGACCACACTTAAGTGCTGACGGATGTAAGGGCAATGTTGATCTCTGGAGACTGTCTCCTGTGGAGCATGAGTGAGTTTTGGCCTTTGAGAAGGGTGTAAGTGGTTTCTTCTTCATTTCAGGGCTGCAATCTTCCCTTGCGTGTTTTGTATGTGTGTTTTGTTTTGTTTTTTTAATAGTATCCTGACCACTTTTAAGGGGTGGAAGCCATAAGGGCAGCATCTGTGCCTGGAGGCTACTTCCTTGGTAGTGTGGGCTGAGTGTTCATCTTTGGAATGGGGTAACTTATTCTTTCTTTATTTCAGGGCTGTTATGCACTGCTTCCAACCATGCAGAGTTGTTTAAGGGCATTCTGTGCACCCTTAGGTGTAATAAATCTTCATCTTTATAGAAAGCCAAGGATTGTCCTCTTCTGGACTGCTGTACTCAGCATCACCCCAGATATCTCCATCCTAATTGTCTGGAGATGCTGTTAGTTTCCGAATCTGTATGACACCAAAATCCCAATTCCTCTTCCTCCCACCCCCTGACCCCCATTCAATAGCTCTGCAGCTCTGGTTCCCAGCAGCGTGATGAACTGAAGCCCCTGGTCTGCTGAATACTGGGACTGGCCCAGAGAGGCTCTGTGACGGGTGTGGATTATCCCAGCTGGAGTACCTGGTACCATTGGTGGTGATCTCGTCCAACTGCCACACAACGGACAGGAACATCCACAGCCAGATCAGGTTGCCCAGAGGCTGACCCAGCCTCACCTTGGAAGGGACAGAGCATCTATCACATGTCTGGGTAACCTGTTCCACTGTGTCCCCACCCTCACTGTACAAGATTTTCTTTATATCTAGGCTAAATCTTTCCTTGTTTTTCCTTTCAAGTGTTGAAAGGCTGTTACCAGATCACCTCAGAGCCTTCACTTCTCCAGGCTGAACAGCTCCAGCTCTCTCTCTTTATAGGAAAGGCATTCCACCCTTTGGTTCATATCTGTGGCTGTTCTCTGGATGTGCTCCAACAGCTCCACATCTGTCCTGCACTGCGGACATCCACATCCAGACACAGCACCTCCAGATGAGGTCTCACAGCACAGAGCAGAGGGGCAGGACCGCCTCCCTTCGCCTACTGACCGCACATCTTTGGATGGAGCCCAGCATACGGTTGGCTTTCTGGGCCAGGAAGGTACATTGCTGAGTGCCCACTACTCAGCCTGTTGAGGTCCCTCTGGATGGCATCCCGTCCCTCTGGTGTGTCACTGCACCCCCACAGCTTGGTGTCATTAGGGTGCACTTGACCCCACTGTTGATGTCACTGATGAAGGGGCAATTCCAGATGTTTGTACAAACTCAGCAAAGAACACCTTGAGAGCAGCCCCACAGAGAAGGATTTGCAGATCCTGGTGGGTGAGAAGCTGGACATGAGCCAGCAGAGTGCGCTTGCAGCCTGGAAGGCCAGCTGTGTTCTGGACTGCATTAAAAGAGGAGCGGCCAGCAGGGAGAGGGAGGTGATCGTCCCCATCTACTCGGCTCTTGTGAGGCTTCATCTGCAGTGCTGCATCCAGGCCTGGGGCTCCCAGCACAGGAAGGATGTGGAGCTCATGGAGCGGGTCTGGAGGAGGCACTGCGATGATCAGATGGTTGGAGCAGCTCTCCTACAAGGAAAGGTTGAGGGAAGTGGTCTTGTTCAGCCTGGAGAAGAGAAGGCTTGGGGGAGAACTCATTGCAGCCTTCCAGTACTTAAAGGGAGTGTATAAGCAGGAAGGGAAACGGGTGTTTATGAGGGTGGATTGTGATAGGACAAGGGGAAATGGTTTTAAACTGAGACGGGAGGTTTAGGTTGGTTATTAGGAGGAAGCTTTTCATACAGAGGGTGGTGACGCACTGGAACATGCTTCAGAGTCACTTCCAGGGGGATCTGCTCCATGATTTTTTTCCCAGCACGGAGATGAGACTGACATGTTGGCAGTTCCCAGGGTCATCCTTTCTATCTGTAATAACAGCTGTGCTGTTGCCTTTTTTCTGCTCACCAGGGACTTCACCTGACTGCCTCAACTTCCTCTTCCTCAATCCCCACCTACCAAACCAAAGGTGAGGGCAGTGTATAGTGAGCAGTTATCAGAGAAGATGGAAGCAAAAATATTGTTGGGTACCTGAGCCTTCTCCTTGTCTGTTGTTCCCAGCTCAGTGCTGCTGGTAAGCAGCATCGTGCACAGAGTGCAGCCATGTTGCTCTGAGAAAGGAGCACTGCAGCGCACATCTGAAAGTAACACTGCCCTACATCTGCAGTGCCTTCATTACTGCATTGTGTCCCACAGGTGGC